GCTTCCTCCGCCCCGCTCCTCCTCCTGGAGGCGGGCACCCGGAATTTGAGCGGCGGAGGACCCGCGCCCCCGCCCCCGCGCCCCAATTCAAGAAGCCGCTCCGCTACCCCGGCGGCACAGGGCGCCCGGCGCGCCTCGCAGCGCACGTCCCGCGCCTTCTCCGCCCGCTCGCTGGGCATTATGCGGCCGAGCGGCCGAGCCCCAGTCCTGCTCCTCCGGCTCCTCCCGCGGCCCGAGCGGCTCAGCTCTCGGCAGGCGGCAGCGTTGCTCAGCCGAGCGCAGACGGGACCCTCGCCGCGAGACCTCAGCGACTCCTGAAGTCAAAAGTCGGCGGCCGGCGCCGGCCCCGCGCTCTCCGCGGCAGCTGCCTCGGTCACCGCGCAGCCAGGGCGGCAAGGCAGGGGAGCGGGGTGCGGGAGGTGGGAGCACCATGCAGTTTGTATCCTGGGCCGCACTGCTAATGCTCCTGGTGCGGGACTTGGCCGAGATGCGGAGCCCAGACGCCGCGGCCGCCGTGCGCAAGGACAGGCTGCACCCGAGGCAAGGTAACGAGGCTCGGCCCTGGGACCCCGGCGCCCCTCCCGAGCCGCTCCCTGGCGGGGGCGCCCTGCAGCCAGGCGCTTTCCTTTTCCTAGAAAGACCTGCCTCCCGCTTTGGAGCCGCTCTGCCCTGGGCCATTTCCAGCCAAGGCTAGGGAGACGCTGGAGACAAAAGTAGCCACCCTCCCCTTTGCTTCGGCCTGGCCCACCCCACGCCCCAAGCTGAAGTTACTTAGTAGCTGGGGCCTCCCGACAGGGCACATTTTATTTTGTTCGGGGTATTTATCAGGGTCTGAAAGTATTTTGTCTCCGGAGTTGCTCACTGCCTGCCTTCCAGCAGTCCCCTCAGCGCCTAGCAGTTTCTGACTTGCTGTCCCACAGTAGGTGCTCAGCAAATATTTGACCTCTGATTACGGGTTAAAGGACCGGACTCCAGTGCGCTGGAAAATAAGTCAGGACAAAGCCCCCACCTTCGTTTTAAATTACAAGTTGCGGGAACGGGAATCCCTGGCTCATGCATCTTTGCATCTTTCTGCAGCGAAATTACTGGAGACCTTGAGCGAATATGAAATCGCGTCTCCCGTGCGAGTGAACGCGGCCGGAGAACCTTTTCCCACGAACGTGCACTTCAAAAGAAGGCGACGGAGCATTGACTCTGCCTCTGACCCCTGGCCTGCCTTCGCGTCCTCCTCTTCCTCTTCTACCTCCTCCCCGGAGCACTACCGCCTCTCCGCCTTCGGCCAACACTTTCTATTTAATCTCACCGCCCATGCCGGATTTATCGCTCCACTGTTTACTGTCACTCTCCTCGGGGAGCCCGAGGAGAACCAGACTAAGTTTTATTCCGAGGAGGAAACTGAACTGAAGCACTGTTTCTACAAAGGCCACGTCAATACGAAGACGGAGCACACGGCCGTCATCAGCCTCTGCTCGGGAATGGTAAGTGGGCGCGAGCCCCCCGCAGCCCCGTCCGCTGCGTCGAGACGCAGTCGCTCTCCAGCCTGGAGCTCTCCGGCGCCGAGGCTCCGCTCCGGCCTTAAATATTACTTAGAAACTCGTGTCGGGTTCTGGATGGGAGGGAGCAACTCTGGTTGCTCTGGCTTGCACTCGCCAGGGGCGCACGGTCCGCCCCCAGGGGTGCGGGAGGCTTCGCGGCGCTCGGCGGCCGGAACCGCGCAGCCGTGCGTGGCCCAGCGGTATCCGGCGGCCCGGACGCTAGCTTCCAAAGAAGGCTGCTGCAACTGTGCTTTGTCGCGGCGATCTCGGCGGATCGCTCCCGGAGCGGAGCGGCCGAGCGCGGGGCGGGCCCGACCTCCCCGCGCCCCGGAGTTGGGGATGTGGACTGACAGCCCCGGCGTGGGGCACCGGGAGTCCCGCCCGCCCGTGTCGGGGACGCCAGCGCGTAATCTGCAGTCTTCGCGGTCTCCGGGGCCTTTTATCCCGCGGCGCCAGGGCTGCCGAAGCTGAGCTGGATTGGCAGGGAGGCCGTCCTGTCCGGGGGACGGAAGGGTGGGCCCAGGGCTCCGGGGCGGGGCCGGGGCGGAGCCGGCCCGCGACCCTGCGACCCCGGGGGTGGGGGAGCGCGGAGTGGGGGTGCGTCGCAGTCCGACTCTGCACCCTGGTGGCAGGGTGGCCGGCCACGCCGCGAGAGTGGCGGAAAGCCCGCAGAGGCCGCCTGGACGCGACCTCGGTTTTCCTGGGACGGGCGCGGGCCCCGGGAATCGGAAGAGCGAGTCCACCGAGCACGTTTCCTTGGGACGGTGGGCGGGGCGGCCAGCTCCGGGCGGCCAGACACGCACTTAGCAGGGGATGCCCAAGAGCGTCCCCACCCCCGGGTCCCGGCCCCCCACCGGCCCGCCGCTCGGTCTAACAGGACACCCCCTCGCCTCCCGCGACCTCCGAGGACCGGCGCAAGGGCCTGGCCCCGCGAGGGTGGTCCTCGACTCTCCCGGGCGGCGGGCGTCTCTGGCACGCGCGTGTGACGCAGAAACTTTCGCAGGCAGGCTGTCCCCGCTCTCGGCGCCGTGCGCGCAACCGGCTGCTGAACTGCGCGCTCCGAGTGTGCCTGCCCTTCCCCTCGGCCCCCGGCTGCCCCTGCCTTTGCTAAGTGGGCGTTTGGGTACTCACCCGGACCCTCGGCCGGTCCCTCGGCTGTCCTGGGTCTCCGGCTCCACGTTCCGAGGTTGCATCCTTCCTCACCTCACGAGGCGACCCGGTGCAGCAAGGCAAGCCTGAAGACTGGGCAGGGGGCGGCCTGGCCCGCTGGGGCGGGAGAAGGGCATGGGCCCCAGCATCCCCCAGCAGACGGCGGAGTCGCAGAGCCCACGGCGTCGCTGAGATTGTTGGGGGTAGGCGGAGACGTCTGTGTGGCGAGGGGGAGGGGACACCGCTGTGAGTCACCCTGGCCCCAAGACTGGGGTCCAGGGCGCCGGGACCCTCTCTGTTGCAAATGGCTAAGGCCCGGGGGGGCAGTGTCAGGTGTCGGACTCCAGAGACCCTGCTCGCCCCCACAGTTCAGCGGCGTCCCCTCCAGCTCCAGGACCGCATGATAGGGCTGCGTGTGCGCGTCAGGTCTGTAAACAATCTTTACTCCTCCTCTCTCCCCGCCTCCACGCTGCTGAGGCCCAGTGGCCCCAGCACTTGGATAAATATTTTGCTGCTCAGGACCTTAATTTCCACTGGTAGTTTTAGGTGGTAACGCACACCTGGTCTCTTTGGGAACGGAGACCAGGCTTTAGAAGAGACAGCGTGTGAGCTATAATACCCCATTCATATATTACCTTCAATTCGCAATCTGCCTCTTTTGGAAAAAAGGGCCTGCATATGTCTTTAAGTGAGCTGGCTTTTTGTATGTTCAGCCTTAATGTAGTTTCGAAACCTCTGCCCCTCTGTCTTCCTTTTGGGATTTTTCTTTGCTCCCCAAACTTATTATCATTTCTGAAGCCAGCGCATCGTAATATTTCTAACACGGCTCCGTAATTCCTTCGGGAAATCTTTCCTTCTTGATTACTGCAACCCGTCCCCGCACCCCACACCAGTCAGTTATCAGTTTCGCGGAATTCCATCTCAGATGTGCTGCTGCTTGCTTCTTCTGAACTGGCCTGGTTGTCTCTCCCTCTCTTCGGGGGGCTTCTCCAGTCGCTGCTCCATCCCTGCGGAACTGCAGGAGCTAGCTAGTCAGGAGTGGGCACAGGGTCTCCTCGCCACCCTTTCAGGCGCGTTGTGTAGCGCCCCGGTGCCCAGTGAGCAATTATCAACGCGTCACTGGGCTCTCAGCGTTTACAGTACACCACACACCCCACTCGGAACCACATGTCCGGCCCCCTCTCAGCTTTTTCCCACAGAAATCCTGCATTCCAGGCAGTCTGCTTTATGCTTCTTCCTGAGTATTCCCTCACCCAGCTTCACATGCTCAAATCACAGCCTTCTTTTAAAGTGTGGCTCCATCCTCTCCTCAGGACTAGTTTCTGCAGAGCTCTGCCTGCCATCCCTTCTCCTGTGCACCTTTGTGGATAGCAGCTGTGTCTCAGGGTGCTTCTGTGCCCACTTCCTTGTATGCAAGTTCTTGGCTACATTTCTTGCAGTTTTTCCTAGCCAGCCAGGAGAGCACCTGTTCATTTCTCTCCCGCACTGGACCCTTGAATGATGTACGTGCTTAGTACCTACATTGGAAGCAGTGGTCACCTTAGCTGGAAAAATAACTGCTGGGCCCCGAAACTGATGTTGATGCCACATGGGTGCCATCTTTTGGAGCCCTTCTGCTAGCATGCGGGAAGCACTTTACATGGACATTATTTCAGCCAAATCCTCACCTTGACTCAGTTCTCAAAACAATCCATTTTACTGATAATGGTGCTGAAGCACTGAGAGCTCACTGCTACTGAGTGGTGGAGCTGTAATTCCACCTCTCTGCCGTGCTCTCTGACCCACCCAGAGACTGTGTCTGCCTTCCTAAAGAGACCTGCGGGTTCCTTGATTTTTCTTCGAAGCACTGGACTAAAGTTAGGCTCCTCAGGCCTGGACAGAGCACTGGCTCCTGAACCACCAAGGGGATATCAGTCAAGTGGCTTCCTGTCTGTGCCTGGGTTCCTCCGTTTACCGATGACAGGTGGCGGGTCTTCACCGAAGCGTCCAGGCGCTTCCTCAGTTCTGGGGTCTCTTGGAGGCTTCGCACGTCCTGTTGTGCTCCCGGGTCCGTGCTTGGGAGCACCAGAGCTGCATGGTGACAGCAGACGGGTGCCTGGCGGGCTGGGGGGCGACAAATGTATTAGTTTTTTTCTGCTCAGCAGCTACTCTGTGTCTTGCTTGGCCTTTTTTTTTTTTTTTCCTTAAACCAATGCTTCCTCAGTCACATGGAGAACTACTTTTAAAATCTAGGTTCTGGACCTCCCCACTATGAATTCTGAATCTGTAAGTCTGGTTGTAAAAAACTCCCCAGGCACTTTTGATACTGCTTGGGTTTGGGGACTAGTGTCTCAGCTTAGTGTTTCTCATACTTTGTCAAGAAGAGTACCTGGGAGTTCATTACAGTTACGACTCCCAGGCCCTGCGCAGGTCAGCTTTGGGCAGTGCAGTTACTTGACTTTCTCACCAGCTCTGGGTCGTCACACTGGTGCCGCTGATAGTCAGGGACAGCCATTTTCCGCGTGTCCAGGGAAGGGTAGGAGGCCTCTGATTGCTTTCCGGTGTGTGCAACAGGAGGGTGGGAGAGAAGGTGAGAGCTCAGTTTCTTTCTTTAAACTCCGCTAACTGGCACGGCATGGGGCGCTTGGCATGGGGTGCTTCTGTGTGTATTCCTTATACCTTGCTTGGATGGTTCAAGCCTGAGGCATCATTGGTCTTTGTAAGTAGGTGTTTGGGGAGGGGAGGAGGAAAAGTGACCTTTTTCGAGTGCTTAGCCTGATGGATAAAGCAAGCTGGAGCGTGGGGGTTAGAGGCCAACACCAGCAGCACTAGATACCGCTAACATGATCTGAGTCCCTGCAAGGTGTCAGGCACTTTGCAGAGCACATTGTCTGAGTTATCACAGTTAATCTGCACGATTAGCTTTTACTGAAAGCATCTTTATCTGCAGCGGACAAAAAGTTGAGTCTCAGAGCAGATGGGAGGGTAGGTGTAGTGCTGGGATCAGAAGCAGGGTTGCTTCCACCCTGGCGCCTTGAGCACCATCCCTCCCAGGTGTGCAGGGGGTACAAGTGGTACCACCGGAGCAAACTGGCACAACTGTGCTTCCTGAACTTGAGTCCTTGAGAAGCTTCAGTCAGCCAACTTCTTCCCCTTGAGCTCAGACGTGTCCCTAGCTTTCCAGGCAGCATTACTACTTAGAAATGCTCTTTTAACCCCCTGTAGGAGTAATGTGATTGGAACTTGAATGCCAGGGGAGAGACAGCCTGGAACAGCAGGCACAATAAGCTAGAGTGGAATGAAGCACTTCTCTGCGTATGTCACAGCGTTTTACGTTTAAGCAGCCCCCTTGGGAGGAGGGATTAAATAAGATGGTCCTGTTTCTACTGGGAATTGTGCCATTGCTTTTTGCCTCCCATTGGCTGGCTTGCGTCAAATCAACTCATCTCTTTTTATTTGCAGCTGGGCACATTCCGGTCCCATGATGGAGATTATTTTATTGAACCACTGTTGTCCATGGATGAACAAGAGAATGAAGAGGAGCAGAACAAACCCCACATTATTTATAGGCGCAGCGTCCCCCAGAAGGAGCCGTCCTCAGGAAAGGATGCCTGTGACACCTCAGGTATTTACTTCTTTTTTTAATTTTTTTTTTAATTTTTATTTTTTTGCGGTACCGGTGATCGAACTCATGACCTTGCGCTTGCCAGGCAGGCGCTTGTGCCACTGAGCTATATCCCCAGCCCCAGTATTTACTGCTTGGTTAAGCAGAGATCCAGGCTGTCAGATGAGATGGTTGCCATCTGGCAGGAAGGTAGCACCTTCGTAGTCTACAGAGCACTACCTACCATCCTTTCTCCACTTCTCCTGCACGGAGGTGGAAACTGCAGGGTAGTTAGTGGCTTGCTGAAGGTTGCACAGTTCAGAATTTACAGTGTCAGGATTTGGATACAGAAAGCAGTGACTCCAGTGCCCTCGGGACAGGGCTCTCTTCTGCTGAGATTGCTTGTTTTTAGGACTAAGCTTTGGTAATTTCTGGCTGATGTGATATCAGTATTCATAATCAGAAATTGCTTGTATTTTGTTTGTGTCTTCTATTCATTTGTTTGTGTGGATTTTTTTTTTTTTTTTTTTTTTTTTTTTTTTTTTTTGCGATGTAGACTTACAAAAAGCTTTACAAATGGAACTCACAAGAACTTACATGTTCGTCAGGATTTCTTCTATCAGCTTCAGTTTTGCTGATGTTCTGTGGTTTCACCAGATATGGAAATGGACCTGTGGTTGCTCTGTTAGTTTAGGTTCAGTCGGGTTCTTTGCTGCCCACTGCTGGATTTCCTCCCAGCGGGATTGCTGCAGGCTTGGCAGCAACGGGCCGACCACTCTGGGGATGTGTCTCAGTGGACGCCTCAGAGAGTTTGTTCCTCTGTGCATTTCTCAACGCGCTGCCTTCTTCCACCTCTGGTTGATTTCTCCTGAATGATGGTTACCATTAGGAACTGTCTCATTTGGACCCGTGTTTTAATGTGTTTGTGAAAGTGGTTCTCAAGAAAAATGTGTGGACTTCCTCTCTCTAGAACCATGTCTGTCTCACTCTTCTCAATTTTTTAAAAATTGCCTCAACAAATTACATAGTTTCTTGAGGTCTTCATGGTATGTCCAAATCAGACCCACGTTCAAGGCCGACAGAGATGTCCTCAAAGGCGTCTCAAATGATCACTGGTTCACTGTCTGTCTGCATCCAGTCGTGCTGTTGTGACAGCATCTGGTGCTTCTCTCTCGGAAGTGTTGTTTCTGAAGTGAATCCTTCAATAAAAGACAACATTAGCTGTGGTTACGGGGAGATAGCCGGGGCTAAGGGTGGGGCCTCTTAATCTTGTGGCTCCCTTGAGCTCTCACCACCAGGGCTGGCAGGAAAGGAACCGAGGTCAGGCCAGTCAGATTCTAACGTGCCAGAGAGCTGGGAGGGCCGCTGTCCTCAGACACGGTGGTTCCAGGAGCTCGTGCTGTTCACTTTGCCAGCCACCAGCGAACCTCATGAGCAGGCTTTGGCGTGTAGTTCGGCCATACTATGAAGACCTTTCACCTTTACTTTCTGACTTCCCAAATTGGTACTAGCAAGAGCATGTTTTATGTGGGTTTTTGTTTGCTTTTGTACCGGGAATCAAACTCGGACCTTGCACTGGACAGGCAGGCGCTTGTGCCTCTGAGCTGTATCCCCAGCCCAGCAAGAGATATTTCACATGTAAGTCTACGTGTAACATGAGCTAGAAAGGAAGTACGCGGCTCTTCCCTTCCTATATAATTCATATGTATGCACAGCACACTGAGGTCCTGTCTGCGTGGATACAGGCCTTGAAGGGTGGTGTTTGGTGGCATTCTTCAGCCCCAAAGTGGCTACAAAGCAGCATTTTTAAAACTGTGATACATTGTTCTCTCGTTCCACACTGGCGTCCTGCAGAGTGTGCACCCTGCCCCGCCTCACCCACTCTTTACCACCTACTGACGGGGTCAGTCCCGTCCTGCCTCCCTGATACCTAGAGAGAGGCTGAGACAGAGGCTGAGACGGACGCACATGGGGACGGGGGCTCCCCCGGCATGTCCACGGGAGCCCACGCCCATCCTCCGCGACCCACGTAGGCTGTGCCAGAGCCCGTGCGGTGGGGAGCGTCTCAACACTGGCCTTCAGGAGGGCCACTCCGGAATCAGTTTGTCAAGTGACTCCCGGAGTTAGCAGATAGTCAGCTCTAGCTGAGCGCAGGGCATTGTCACGTCCTATTACAAACATAGGGAAGAGCATTTCCAAAATTCAAGGGCTGGGGACAGTGGAAGATGCCTTCTTTTTCCACAGGCACTTGAGAAAAGTGCCACCTTTCCATCTTCCCAGTATTTGCTGGCTGGTGAGCCATGTGGCCTGCACCCCCTCCACCTACGTGGTGACTCAGGAGCCGGGCAGTTGGGTCGATTGTCCCAGGGGTTCCTTCTGGACTCTGTCCCCGCCCCCGTTCTCTCTTCCAGCTGCTTCTGCACCCCTTCTTTGAGCTCAGGTGCAGGAGGCTCAGAACAGTCGAGAGGAACTTCGGAATAGGTCACGATTCACCAGCCCCATTGGAGGGATGGATCAGCAGGGCACAGAAACCTCCAAACCCCGGAATCCCGTGCCAGGCGGAGAATGTAGCTTGGGGCAGGAGTCCCTCTGGCCAGGGAAGAGGGCCGCCTCCCATCCAGTCCCTTCGGCACGGGTGGATTTCTCTCCCAAGCAAGAACCATGGTTGGTAACCAGTACCAAGAGCTCTGCAGAGCCCTGGCAACCTCGCAGAGCGCAGGTCCTTCAGAAAGCAGCGGTTAATTCATCTAGCAGGGAGTGAGATGGAGCCAGGACCAGTGACTTCCGTAAGTGCTCCAAGTGACTGAGGTGCGCAGCCGGCTCTGAGTCCCCGTGATCGCTCCCCCCACCCGCCCCTGTGCTCCCTGGGCGTGACCTCCCGTGTCAGTGCTTCCTGCGGCTTTTCTTGCAGAGGGACGGGCTGCTCAGGCTGGAGGGAACCTGAGCAGTGAGGTCTGCGGACACCAGCTCTGCACAGATGAGGACACAAAGCTGCAGGATGTCAAGTTAGATATCTGTTTGCAGTGCGATACCCTGCGTATCGTTACTAACTTTCCCACGGCTGGGCTTGGGAGCCGGCCCCACAAAGGCCCTGCTGACCTCGCCGGGACTGGGGCAGCCGCACTGTGGGCAGCGGGCAGGGCAGGGCAGGGCAGGGCAGGGCAGGGCAGGGCAGGGCAGGGCAGGGCAGGACAGGGCACGCTGGCTGCTGCTTGCTGCTGTACACAGGTGGAAGTCCTGCTCATGTCCGATTCTTGGGGCATAATTTTCAGAAAAGGCTTGTGAGAAAGCGTATTTTAAAGACAGCTGTGGAAGGAGTTTAATGTCATCGGAACTTGGTGGGTTTAGAAAGGCACCCGTGACCTTGTGTATTTGCTCCTGTGTGCATCTTTTTATTCAGCCACAGAGTGTGAACTGAACACCTCCTTTGTGCCAGAAAGATAAAGCAGGAACTGTCCGTACTCCCGTTGGGTGATGGGATGCCAAACACATTGTAGAATACGAAGTAAACATAACACGGACCTGCTGCTTGGACTAATTGAGTGTGAAATAAGGCAGGCTTCAAGGGCAGGGTTTAGCAGATGGCAGGCAATTACTGAGTGACAATTTTTAAATAAATTAATGAAAATAGAAAACAAAGCACTGTAGTGAGGGAAGGAAAACTTAAAACCCCAAACCCAGAGGTGATCACTTAGCGCTTTCTGGTAACTGGGACCAGAAAGATTTACGTGCTGGCTCCAGCCGATCCCGCCAGCTAGCAGCGGCTGTGTGGGTTCTCTGCCCCCCGCTTTCCTCTGTGCCCGGGGCAGCTCGTTAACGTTGGCGAGTTTGAGAGTGGCTCTGGCTGCCCTTCCTGGATAGTCTCTGCGTGGCCGTCGTCGGCTCTGTCTGTGTGGACACTGGTCCCCTGAGCGCTCCTCCCTTTGTCTTTCACACTGTGTGTGAGTTCTTGGGCAACAGGCTCATCTTCCTACAGCCCTGGTGACTGTGGAGCCCTTCCCAGCGGCCCCTCAGGCGCTACACTGAGCTTGTGGCCTGCAGCCCCCACTCCAGCGGGCCCAGGGACAGCCGGGTGGCAGCGCCACAGGAGGGTGCGGTGCTCCGCTCCGCTGCTCCCGCACACTGCCCGCTCCCAGGTGAAATCTTAGTTGTGCCTGCACTTGACCTGACTTTCACACTTCTTGGCAAGGAGCAAGACAGCTTCCTGGTAGGGATTGTGTGTGTGTGTGTGTGTGTGTGTGTGTGTGTGTGTTTGAGAAAGAGAGGGAGGGGACGCTGAAAGACAGTACATAAGACAGTGTTTTCCTATTATAGAAATTTCTCCTTCATCCGCCCATCTCAGCCAAGCTGGCTGGGTTTTGTTTCTTGGGCCATTTAAGAGTTACACATTTCCTGGCCTGTCAGTCCCACTTCTAAGGAAACAACTGGACAGTTGTGTAAAGGTGTTCCTGAACTACTCAGTGTTGGGTTATTATAGCAAAATCAAGAGAGAACCCCCTCCCCTCAGGAGGGTAGGTCAGTAACTAAGGCACAGACCGGGATGGGCCCTCTGCTGCTGTTAGAAATCACGGCATTGGTTTGCCGTAACACACACTCGAACACACACTCGAGCACTAGTCCATGAGCGAATGAACTTTGTGTGTGTGTGTGTGTGAGTGAGAGAGAGAGAGAGAGATAATCCCATCGTTAGCAATGGTAAAGTGTGCCCCCCAAAATGGAAACAAAGCATAAAAATATTAACTGATTCTTTCAGGCTGCCAGAGGCATAGGCAACCTTTTGTATGTTTCCACTCTTTCGCTGTGATTCTATAAGAGTTTCATAGTCACAAAATACAGCTTAAGCACCAGGGGCTCGGAGGTGTTTGTAGCCCATGACACTTGTCGCTGGAGACGACCACTGACACGGTGCTGTCTCGAGGGCTGAAGATCGCGGCTTTTCTTGGTAGTAGTTTCTCAACCAGATAGGTAACTGGCTACAGCTTGGGAGGCCCACGGCTGGCAGAGCAGGGCCTCCGTCTCAC